CAAGATCCACTGCTTCTGCACTAAAATGTTCCTACAGAGGGACCAGGACATTTACAGAGTCCTGCCTGGCACTCCGCACCATTTCATGCTTCTGGTTTGGTCAACCTGTCTCAGTGCCCAGTTCAGGGGCAGGACCAGGTCTAGGGTGCCAGGACATCTGGCCATTCAGCTGACAAAGCAGTGCCATGGACAGCCAGGCTGCAATGAACAAGAAACCTTCCCAACGCCTGCAGCCCCCAGCCCTCCTGAGTCCCCATTCTTCCTTGATAGAAGGGCAGGGGGGCATGCTAACCCGTGAAGCAGAGAGGTAAACATGGCTCTGGGGTGCTAGGTAGGGTGGCTGAGACCCTGCCCTGGGGCTTCACACCCCACCCCAACGTGGCCCAGAATAAAGAGATGCCCAGGACTCACCCCATCTCTGAGCTGCAGTGAGGGAAGCAGATGGCTCCTCCTGGAAGTGGGCACACGCCCCTCTCCAACTTGGGACTGTCCGGTGATCATCTCCCTGGCCAGGATATTTCAGCTCCCTCCTTCCTCTGCCCTCCTCCTCCCAATGAGCTCATCTGTCTAGGGCTCCCCACCCCCTTTGCCTGAAAAGATGTTTGGACAGAACCTGGCAGAAAACAGAGAAAGAGGAAGGGAGGGATAGAGGAGGTGGCTGTCTACCTCCCTGCACCCAGAGCCCTTAGCAAGTGAAGATGGGTGAGGAGAGTTCAGGAAGAGTTTATGTCTACTCCAACTTGCTGATGCTGATGCCAGGCGGGCTGGGGAGCCGCGGGCAGGGTGGCCAGTACCGGTTCCTTGCTGGACTGCTAAGCCACGTGCCTGCGGTTGGTTTGGTGCATGCTGTCTTGTTAACCCCCTCAGCACCTGCCAAAGTTCAGTGGAGGCTCAGACTGTGGCTGTGGGCAAGTGGGGACTCTGAGCTGGGGGGAAGGAATGGTGAGTAGGGACAGGCAGGGAACAGACCTAGGTGCAAGAGAAGGAGGCTCCCAAAAGTTTGTAGCATCCACCCAACCCAACCTGAGAGGCAGAAGGATTTGGGGGCATTTAACTTTAAGTTAATGCATGCAGAGAATCTCGGTGCCTGCAGTTCTACCGTCCTGAGGTTGGGGCCCAGTTTATAAGCAGAGTGGAGCGCGGGGAAGGTCGAGAGGGGAAGCAGCTCCTAGTGTTGGTCCAAGGCCGGCGGCTGGGAGAGGAGGTGGGAGGTGGGGGTGTGGGGGGCTCCCTGCAGACCCCCGTGTTCTCTGCCTCTAAGAGCCGAGTCAGCGCCGCTGCAGAGCCAAGCTAAGTGAGCTCCGTTACCTGCAATGCCCCAGCAGGAGCCGCGAGGGCTTATGGGGGAGGAGGGGGAGAGGCAGGGGGCAGGCAAGGGCAGTAGGGGAGCCAGCAGGGGAGGAGGCTCCCTGCCAGGCTCTTGTTACTTAGGAGGAACTCCTCTCAAAATAGCTCCGGAGACCTCATCGGAGCTCTCCCTTTCTCTTCCTCCCCTGCAGGGGTCTTGGCCCGCTTTCCGAGAACTGACAGGGGATGGAATCTTCCATCTACCTGCCCTGGTAGAAGATGGGATCGCCCCAGGGGTGAGTGCCTTCCAGGGTAAGAGCATCTCCCAGAGGCAGGGAGCTGGAGCTCTGCCCCCATTATTGCCCGGGCCACTTCCCCCACCACGCACTGACCTTCCATCCCCGCTCTCCCTCCGAGCTCCAATCTAGCTCCCTGGAGGGCGGGAACTGAGGGGGTCGTCTGGTCTCAGAGAGGACAGTTGGACTAACTGCTTCAAAGAACCTATGTGAACCCTCCAAGGAAACAATCTCTTTCCCCTTAAATCTAGGCCCTATCTTCTCCCCACTGAGATGGAACAGCTTCCTGACAGCTCCTTGGCATAGGGCCCAATCCCTCTCTGCGTCCCTGAAAACTTGCTCTTCAAGGTATTTCTGAGCCAGGCCGCCGAAGACCTGAGTATGCATTACCCCATCACCGAGAACCAAGCCTGTGGGGGCACAGCTGGGGGCTGTGCCCAAGCCACCATCCCTGCTTTTAGGGGACTTCCAGCAGAAGGAGGGAAAGGAGCTGAGGTGCCGGCCCATTTCTTCCTACCCCCGCCCAGAGACTGGGGGCTCTTGAGCTGGGTGAGGGGGCTGAATAAGGGAGGGCTCCTCAAAGACAGAGTCTTCAAAAGGCAGGAGAGAAGGAACTCTGATCTTTTGCTGTCTTCTCCCCTGGCACCCTCAGGAGGATCCTCTGAGCTTGGATCAATGGACTAGGGTTTTGAGAATTTTTGAGGAAAGTGCTCTATAAATGTAAAAATCCTCTAGCCACTAATGCACTTCTCAAGCACTTTTTCTGCCCAGCTATGGAGCCCTCCTGATGTTCTTTAGAGGAAAGCTGGGGTGGGGGTGGGGCTGGAGGGAGGGAATCAAATAATGGAGGAGGTACTAATCCTGGCTTTAAGAGTCACTTTCTCTGTGACCTTGGGCCACACATTCTACCTCTCTGGGTCTGTTTCTTCATCTGTGAGGTGTGCGGGTTTCCTAAGGACCCTTCCAGGTCTAAGAGTTGGTGAGCAGTGAGGCAGCGGTGAAGGTGGAGGGCACGAAGGAAACTGGCACCTTTTCTGTCACCAGGATCTAAAGATATCCGGGCACTCTGTCCCCTCCCCTCCCCCTTCTCTGGGTCAGGGTCATTTTCCTTCCCTTCCCTTCCCTTTGGCTCACCTCCTGTCTCACCTCAGCCTCCTGCTCTGAGAAACATGACCCCTGCTGTAAAAATAAAGTGGACAGCAAGGATGCCTGGCCCTGTTGATCTAGTGTCTGCAACCTGCTGGGGAAGGAGAGAGTTGAGTGTGTGAACTCGGAGATGGGAAGAGGCTCAGCCTTGTAGGGCTGCAGACCTCCTTGAGAATATAAGAGCTACAATGTACTGCACGCTGACCTTCTGCCTAGCACTTGCTCAGCACTTTTACATGCAATAGCATCTCATTCCATCCTCTTAGTCAGGTCCACCTCTGATGTTTGCGAGGCCTGGGGCAAGTATACAAAGGGAAATTACATGTATGTCTAAATATAAGTTATAAATCAAGACAACAAAGTGTTAACATTTACCATTTATCCCCTGCCTTTGATGAATTTTCCTTAATTTAAGATGAGGTCCAGAAACCATTCCCCCAACCACTCTTCTCTGGTCTGCAGGGACAGGGGCTCTCATGCACGCCTGGGAATGCTCCACCTGTAGGTCAGGTTCTCTCCACCTCCCACCCCCTGCAAACAGCTGCCCAGGCCTCTGGCGCACATCCGGCATGGTCAGCTCCTGAGAGCATGGACCTGGGGAAGAGGCCTGTGCAGGGTGGAGTCATCTGAGCAGGGAATTCCAGGGTCCTGGAGACTGGGCGTATGGTCTAGAAGCCTGGACCACTCTCCTTCGTGTCCCACGAACTCCTTCCAGTGAGGAGGGGTATGGCCCGAGGAGGGCCAGCGTGAGGCCCTGTGAATTCAGGAGCCCAGGGCTAAGAGTCCAGGTCTAAGAGTAGCATTGCTCTTAACAGCCCCACAGGGTAAATATGACTTTCACCATATTACAGATGAGGCTTCTGCAGAAGATTGTGTAACTTGCTCAATGTCATACTGCAATAAATGCTCGAGCTGGGATTCGACTCCCCAGCGCCTAACTCCAGAACCACTGTACTGCTGTTCCAGCTATACTAAGGAAAAGCATGGAGCCTCTGGGGGGCAGGGAAGGGGGACTAACAGACATCATTCAGCATTTCCCATACAACCTCAAGGGGCATGATCTCTCTGAAGCCCACCAGGGATCCCAGGTTACCAAGATGGGTGGTGGGGGGCCACTGGTGGGGCTGTAGCAGGGGTCAGGCCATGAAGCCGGAGCAGGTTTCCAAGTGTGAACCAGTCTCCAGACGTGCGAAGAATGGAAGGTCAGGAACACAGCATCTGTGGTGGAGGAAGGGGGCTTGGACAGTTGGGAAGGGGGTGCTGAGGAGGGTATCAGACATTAAGTACGGAACTACCCCAAAAAGCACTACTCACTTTTACCCTCCAGACTGTCTGGAAAAATGCTGGCTTGTCAGCAGTCTCACCTCAGCCCTCTGACCCGGCTGTGACCTCCAAGCCAGGAAGCCTACCCCCACCCTAAAAGGGAGGCCTAGTGGGTTCTGGAGACAGGAAACTCTTGGAAGAGGGTGAAAGGGTGGAGTCTGAGGGGACCGGCCTAGGTGGGAAAAATAAGTAGGGGTGCCGCGGCAGAATGAAGTGGAGCGCGGATCGGTAGTGTCTGGCCTGATTACCTAACCAGGAGCATCATGATTTCCGAGGACTCTATGAAGAAGTGGGAGAGGTTGGTGGGCGGTGGGTGGGGGCAGTTTGCAGTTGGAAGCTCTATTCCCGGAGCCGTGCACAGCGGGGGCGAAGGCGGCGGGCGCGGGGCTCCGAGGCTGCAGGCGCGGGGTCCGCCCGGCCGCAGTGGGCAAGCGCGCACACGCCCACCGGCTGCGGCGGTGCCGGCTGCAGACATTCGAGCGCTCCCTTCGCGGCCCCGGAAGAGAGAGCCGCTACCCTACCCATATTCCCCAAAGCAGAACAACACAGCCTTCCAACACCCGAAAAGCTCCACCTCTACTCCCCCCAAACTGTCCTCCTAATTGGCAGCTCAGCGCAGGGGATGATGCGGGCGGCTGCGGGCGGCCCTGCAGCAGGGAAGCGCTCAAGCCGCAGCAGCCCAGCTCGAGCTGGAGAGGGAGTGAGGGGCCCGGCTTGCTCCCGGGACTCCCAGACCGCGAGGAGGGCCACCGGGCAGAGTGTGTAGCGGGCCCGGGCGCCCTGGGCTCCGCGGCGGCCACCGCCCCTCCTGCGGCTGGAGCGCTTCCAGAGCGGAGGCGCAGCGTCGCTCGCCTCTGCGCTCGCTCAGCGATCCTCCTGCTCCTCCAGCTCCTCCTCCTCGTGCTCCTGCTTCTCCTCCCCTTGCCCTCGGCAGCCGCTCCTGCAGCCGGCTCCGCCTCTCCCTCCCTCCCCCTCCTCTCGCTCTCTCCCCGCTAACTTTCCCGAGCCCCGACCGGCGGCGCAGAGCTCCCCGGCAGCTTCGGGGCCCACTGCAGACCGCAGGCTGCGAGCGCGGCTGTGCCCTGTATCCCATCCCCGCTCCCCTGGCGCGCTCCGCAGAGAACAGAACGATGCCCGGGGCTGGGGACCGAGGTGCAGCCTGGGCGAGATGGCTGGGCACTGGGCTTTTGGGTAAGGCAGCTCCAGCTTGGTCTCTTCTCCTGCCTCTTCCCTGACCCCCTCCTCCCCCAGAGGAGGGGACACTTAGAAGAGCAGTGCCTTGGAGGGGTGGACTTCGGAGTGCGGCAAGGAATGAGCACCGCTGCCACCGGCTTCTTGCCGGACGCCCTGCTCGGGCGGCTGTGCTCCCCGGGGACCGTGCGCGTCCCGCGCCCCTCGGTCGGCCTGCCTTGCGATTAGCTCCTTGCTGTCTCTGGCGCCTTCAGCTGCAGAGCTTCAGGCTTCTGCAGCTGGATCGTGGGGCTGCAGCGCGGGTCTCCCGAGTTCAGAGGTTTAGGCGTGCTGGGGGAGGGTGTCTGCGCCTTGGGTGCAGGAGATGCCAGGTGGGTCGCACGTGTGATTGTTGGGATGGCGTTTCTATCCCCGCCCAGAGCTGTTTGCAACTTGGATGCTTGTTGCCCAGCCGTCAGGCATGCACCAGTTGGGAGGGAGGTCCCCTTCCTCCTGGCCCTTTATCTGTTTGGCACCTCTGCTCTCTACCTCCTCCAGTGCCCACTGCCTTCTCTGCAGCTCCACACTAAGGACTGGAAGGGACTTGGAGGATAGGATGTTCAAGCCCCGTTTTACAAAGGATCTTCTCTCTCTTCTTACAAAGAGATTCTGTAGGGAGGACCTGTTTAACCGGCTCCTGGCTCTTCATTTTGGGGATGAATATGAAGACTGAGGAGACGTATCCAGAGGACACAGAGGGAACAGAGTATTAATATCTATTAATATGGACATGATAGTTTTGAGTGTCAAACTCCAAGAGACTTGGGAATGACATTTATTGGTCCAGAACATACTCTCATAAATCGTAGCTGAATTTCAGTGTAAACCGACTCTATCTCTGGCACCTGCGCCTCTTCCTGTTTATATTTGTCAGATTTGGCTTTGGGCAGCTCCCCTCATTGGGTTAGGCACACGATGTAGGCATTTGTGCTGAAAACAGGGAGACAGAAGCCTTTAAGGGCAGTCGCTGGTGTTTCTGCAAATGGAAACTGTATGCAGACCGGTCATGTGGGCACCTGGTGGTGGAGGGGGGCACAGTATTTCTTTCACTCCAGAGCCACTGATTTAATGACATTCCTGGATAGAATGTCATTAAATTCTATCCAGCTGGATAGAAGACACTGGTGTTTCTCTTGTACTTTTGGACAGATGTATGCTGGTTTCACAGTGACCCCAATGAAGCGGGCCTCTGTGAGGCCTGAGGCTCCTCTTCATGGAGTGGGCACAGCTCCCCCTCATCCCATCTCTAATCAGCCCAGATTCCCACTGTGACCATGGCAGGGGTAAGAGGTCACTGAGGAATTCAAGCTCATAAGGTCATTAAACTAGCCCACTTAACACCTCTGACTTCCCTTTCTCCTGCTGCCTGGTTGGGTGGTGGGATCCCAGTGCCTGGTGTAGAACATTCATCAACCCAGTCTTCTGTGGGAAACCACACTATACACCGTGTGTATGTGTGTGTGAGGGAGGATTTCGGGCAGAGTCTTGGTCCTTTTCTCCAGGTGGAAGCCCACACCTCCTCCAAGGACTGTCAGCCTGGTAGACCAGGAAAGGGCAGGGGCCCACTGGAGCAGGTTTGCATGAATCCTGAGCTACTCTGGGATCCCAAGAGAAAGCAGAGCGATTTGTAGATGGGAGACGAGCAGGCCCCAGAACTGGCCCCACCTGCTCTGCCCCCTGCCCCTCTGGTCTGCAGAGGGAATATGACCAGGGTCCACCGTTGGACCTTGCCCAGGCAGCCACTGCTGAGCCCTCACAGTGGCATTGCTCTGAGCCTGGGACACAGATGCCATCCTTGCTCTCAGTCCAGTAGGAGAGATACAGAGATGACTGTACAGCCAACTGGAGATGCTCCCTGGCAGCGTCAGAGCTGGCAGGAACTTTGGGAACCATAGCTCAGAGCTCCCCAGGGGATGGGGAAACCATGGTCCAGAGAGGGGAGGTGACTTGCGAAGGGTGCATGGCCAATTGAGGGTCAAGTTGAACAGAATCTAGGTCTCTTGGGCTCTTCATGCCAGCTTGCCTCCCAGTTAACCAAAGTCTGGTGAGGGGGAAGGTCAGCAGGGATTGGCCAACGGGCTGAAGAAGGAGTGAGGCTCTGGGGCCTGGGTGTGGAAGGATAGAGGCTGAAAGGGGGGCCAGAGCTATTGTTCTCACAACTGTGGAGACTGGGTGTGGAGCAGTAAGCTCCAGGAGTCCTCTCCCCGTCCAGCCCCCTCTCTCCGTAGTGAACTCAGTCTCACCAACTGAGACGAAGTGATTTTTGATAACCCGACAAGACACTCTTGTCTTAAATTGAGAAGCAGTTTCCAAGGCTGTAGTATTGCAACTGAGGTTCCTGTGGGTGCAGTCCCTTCCTCAGCATGTAACTGGTAACATGTATCTGTCCTGCCCACCCCTTCCTTGTTTCCTGATTTGCTTAATTGCTGTGATCTGTGTTTAATTATCACGTCTGAGGGCGCTATGTTGCACAACCCTCCTTCCCTTGGTATCTATTTATTAAGGGCTTGTTTAATGAGAACGCAATTACGGAGAGGGTGCTCCTCCCACTCAGAGGAAGGAAAAGGAAGGAGTAAGTAAGGAGTTCATGGAGAAGAGCATGGGAAGAGGGAGAAGTGGAGGGAGACCCCAGGCTGGGATCTGGAACTGGTGATTAGATCTTTTTCCGGAGATGCAGGCCTGTGCGGTGTCCCAAAGCCCTTAGGACTGGCCACTTCCTGGTGGGATCCCTGATGGGCAGACCCTGGGCACAGATGCTTCCACCTCACCCTGTTGCTGAGCGTGGAGGGATCTCTACATGAGCCGTGGGCTGGTGGTGCCAACACACCCATTCTGCAAGTGGAGGGAGAGGCACGCTGCTTGGACTTGTTTGCAAAGCTGGTTTTGTTGAGCATCCAGTGCTGTCTCAGGGGGCTGCTTCTATCTGGGCAAAGCTCCTGGGGGTGGGCAGGAAGCAGGCAGGTTGCCTAGGGAGAGAGAGCTGAAATCTTTCCTTTGCCTCGGGGCCCAAGGGCCTTGCCTGGCCCAGCCCTGCCTCCCACAGCCCCCAGGGCCTCACCCCAGGAGGAGTCTTGTCCTGCTGGCCTCAGCTCACACTCTGCCGCACAGCTCTAACTGTGAACCTGCCCGACTCCCTTCAGGCCAGCGTGTATCAGCTTCCCTGCTAAGGTCAGCCGTGTTTCCGCCTGCCATGCCAGACAAGCCCTTGGAGCTAAACTTAGAGTAGGCACCACCCTGCCCCTCTTTCCTCCCTTCACCTCAGCTGGTGACTGACCCCGGGATGTGGGAAAAGGTGGCAGAACATTTCCTGCCTTGGCGTTTGCCTTGGAATGTCTGATGGTTGCCATAAGATTCCTGCTGGTGTGAATATTGAAGAATAACATTTGCATGTACCAAATACTTGTTTTACTTTAACAGAACTTGGGAGTCCTGAGTCAATCCTCAGACAAAACCACAGCACCCAGATGAGGATGGGAGGGGGCGGAAGACTTCAGAGAATGGCAAAGAAAGTGGCTGCTCTGACAGTGGCTAAATGGGGTTTAGGATTGAATTCCACAGGGCCCTGAATCGGAGGACTTGTTCATCAGTCGCACGATGCCAGAAAGAGGCCCCCAATCCCAAACGCACACGTGCACACCTTGAAATTCTAGACTTAAGTTTGAGACAAAGCAAAGAAATTCCTTCTTTATTCCAGGGAAATAGCTGCAGGGAAATAATTACCTCCAAGAGGTAGTACGGGTTGAAAGTATAAAGCAAAATGTGAATGGCATGGAGACCATCTTGGCTGATACTGGTCATTAAGCTAGGGGTGCCCTGGTTAATCTGGACCTGTGATGGGGGCCAGCTCTGTCCCCCTCCCTCCTTTTAAACACTATCCTTGGGGGGGCTGGCCCGGTGGCATAGCAGTTAAGTTCACAAGTTCTGCTTCGGCGGCCTGCGGTTCGCCAGTTCGGATCCTGGGTCTGGACCTACACACCGCTCATCAAGCCATGCTGAGGCTGTGTCCCACATAGAGCAACTAGAAGGATGTACAACTATGACATACAACTATATACTGGGGGCTTTGGGGAGAAAAAAGGAAAAAAAGGAGGAAGATTGACAATAGATGCTAGCTCAGGGTCAATCTTTCTCAAAAAGAAAAATAAATAAATAAAATAAAATAAACACTATCCTCCTCTACCTGCAGGGTGCCCGGGTCAGAGGGATGGACTCACTGAAGCCCTTCTTGTGTTTTATAAGCTCACGTTTTGGCTTTAGACCAAGCTCAGGAGGTAGGAAAGACAGCCATCCCTGGTCTGGGGATGTGCACACTGGATGTGGGACCTCTGACTTTGTCAAGCTCAGCATGCAGAGTGGGGCCTGCCTTGTCCCTGCTGAGGAGTATCCTGGCTTGGTCATCCTGCTGAAGCACCCCTGGGGGAGGGGGGCCTCTAGTGGATCTATACCTGTCCCTACTCCTTCCTCTCCCCCCAGCACAGGCTCACAGGTGAGAGGGCACAGGAGGCAGGCCCCAGGGCTTTCCTTTGCACAAGCCTCCCAGACATAGCCAGTAGGATTTCCTGACGACTGGGAGGGTGTGCAGTGGGGAGACCAGGCTTGCCCATCCTCTTTAACGCCTCAACTTGGGCAGGGCTCTGGACTTCTCCGAGGAAACGTCTCTGCCTTTCCTTTGTCCCCTCCAGGCTACGGCGGGGAATAGCAATGCTTCACTCTTCACTCCGGGAGTCTGGGAGTCCTGAGTGTATTAGAGTTAAGTCATCCACGTAGGCGCACACCAATCAGGCAGAAATGTGCATTGTCATGAGGCAGACCTTAAATAGTTTTCTCCTCTGTTCTGGATGCTTCTTTTGCTCTTTTTTCTTCTATGTATTTAAAGCAGAAAGATTTCACTTTTGATGTGTATCTTTGGTGCTCTTGGATATCCCATTCTGGCTGAGGTTGGGGTGGGCAATTTGGGCCCTGATTTGCATTCCTCCCATCTTCCCCAGGATCCTGGTTCCTGGGCAGGGGTGCCAGTGAGCATGGGAAGCTGGAGTTGTGGTGCTCTTTGGAGCACGTGCTCGGGCCCTGAGGGAGCCCTGTAACTATCAGGAAGCTGCCTTCTCCTGAGATCTTTCTTGTCACAGCTCCACACTCTGTTCCTTGGTTTGTGGGAGCCATGGGGGGTAAGAAGCAGAGCTGGGGTCTCCCACCAGAAGGCCATCTTCTAGGCTGGAGGGTGGAATCTCGTGTCTGGCACCTGTCCTTGGACCTCTGGGGAAGGTGAGGGAGGCGGTGGGCAGAGACAAAAAGAAAACTAGGAACCTAGGGAGAGCTAGCCCTGACAGTATTGTTCTCTTGGAGAGGCTCTGGCACAGAGCGGTGAAAGCAGGCCTCCGTCTGAATACTGCTTATGCCAGTCACCAGTTGTGTGGCCTTGAGCAAGTTAATCTCTCTGAGCCTGTTTCTTCATTTTGTATATTGGAGATAAAAATAATAACTACGTCATAGGATTATTAGAATTTAAATGAGACAGTGTATATAAAATGCTTGTCTTATCTTATAGTAAGTGCTCAGTCCCAGATTCACCATTTATTATGCTGCCCTAAGTTACTTAACCTCTCTGAGCCTCAATTTCATCATCTATAAAACCAGAAAAATTATACCCACCTTTTGGCATTCTAATAAAAGCTGGAGTTAATATGTATAAGTCCTCTAGCACAGTGGTTCTCAAAGTGTCATCCCTGACCACAGCATTCCCTGGGAACCTTTTAGAAATGCAAATCTTCAGGCTCTACTCCAGACCTATTGAGTCAGAAACTCCAGTGGTGGGGCCGAGCCGTCTGCAGTTGCCCTCCAGGTGATTCTGATGCTTTCTCCTTTGAAAGCCACTGCTCTAGAACAACTCCTGGCAAACAGGAGCTGATCAAAGAATGAGGGCTCACTGAAATAACCACTCAGCACTAATTGAACTCTAGTAGGCAAACCCTGCTATTTTAGGACGTAAGGAAGGGTTTTCTTGCTTTGCAGTTTGGGATGCTAGAAATGCCTCTTGTTGAACAGGCAAGTCACCTCCCCTCTCTATGCTCAGTTATCTTGTCTATTATATGGAGCTATTATAGAAACGTCACTCACAGTATGGGCGTGAGGATTAGATGTGCCTGGCATACAGTAAATGCTCAATAAATATCAGCGTGTTCGACAGTGGCAGGGGTCATGCTGGGGCTCCTGGACTGCGGGCTGTTATTTCTGAGTTTCGAGGTAAGAGCTCTCCACTTTGCCTTCAGAAAAGAAAGGGACGTGAAGAAGCTGAGGGGAGCCCTGAGAGCAGGAGCAGGCCTGCCAGCTCTCCCTGGAGCTCCTTCTCTGTCATTTAAACAGCGTTGCTCAGGTGGCACCCATCAGTATCTCATGCGGACAAAACAAGAGGAAACTGGCTTCTGACGCACCAGGAGGGAATCAAGTTAGATGCAAGAGGTCCTTCCCTGAGAGTGAGGATGGGAGCAAGAGGAAGGTTGGTGACCTTTAAAATGAAGACTGACCCTGGCTGTCTTGGGAACAAGAACAGTTCCGGGAACAGCCTGCAGAGCTGGGAGCTGACCTGGGCTGAGAGGGCTTCCAATCTGCTCAGCCACTAAACCCAGTCAGCTCAGCCACGTCTCCTCCCATTTTGGGGCTTGGTTGTCCTGTCTCTAAACTGAGCTGGAGGCAATTTAGTGTCTCTAAGATGGATCGTTCTGGGTCCTTTAGCTCTGACATTCTGGGAATGCCAGGTTGGCGGCCCAAGTAGTTTCGAGAAGCTGCAGTCTGGGAAGAGATCCAGGGAGACTTTGGCCCAGGAGTTAGTGCAGCCAGGTGGCTGCTCTCAACTGCCCACTAGCCCTTGAGTCAGACCCCAGTTCCGATTTCAACTACCTCGAGAAGTTGTACGACTATGGCCAAGGCACTTTGCTCTTCTGAGCTCATTTTCACCACCTGTAAAATGTGGTTAATAATACCCACCTTACAGCTATGAGGTGAGAATGAAATGAGATTACTCACATGCAGCGCTTAGCAAGCATCCGAGGCCCAGGAAAGGGTCGTTCTTTTCGGGATCACTGGGAACCTGAGTAGGACTCCCTCTGTGTCCTCACCCAGGGTAACCCCGGGTGCCCCTTTTGCCTACCGGCGAGTAGCGGCTAGCGACTAATTCCGACCCCCTTCTCCCCACGACCTCGAGGTACAGTGGGGTTTCCTTCAGGACTTTGTAGGACAGGAGGAGGGCCAGGTCCCAGAGGCCCTGAGTGGAAGCTCACGGTTTCCACTTGCCCAAGCGGCAGGGGCGGTATTGATGTACTGGGGAGCGGCGCGGAGGTGGGGGGAAGGGGGTGCTCTGGGGACTTTCCTGGGATAAGGGGCCAGACTGGGCCTGCGGGGTGTGGGGGCAGGGCGGGCTACTCCCGGTCGGGGGCGGGGGGCGGGGCGACCGCGGGTCCAGCGCCTTCTCCCCGCCACCCCTGTTTGCGTGCACTGCGGCTGTCCGGAGTCTGCCTCCCTACAGTGTCTTTCGCCCTCTTACCTTCTCTCCCATTATTGCTTTACTCGCTCCGCCCTGGCTGCTGCCCAATGCCAGGACGTGCCCCATTTCCACTCCCAAGCCCCACTTTATTCCATCCCGGCCCGCCCGTCTTCCTTCTGCGCTCAGGGTCCCGTTCGTTGGCGAGAGGGCGTTGGACTCAGATGGCCAAGCAAAGTCCAGCCGGAGGTGTCCCTCTGCCTCTCCGCCCCTGAGGCCGGTAGGAGCCTCCAGGGCTCGGCGATGAGAGGCCACTGGGCAGTGTCCGGGCACTGCGGCTGCCGTTTTCCTCTTCTTCACCTCAGGGGACCTTCTTTCACCCCCCACCCCAATCCCGGAAAACGTAACGGGGGGCCGCGCACCTTCCTAGGGGAAATCCCCACTGCAAATAGAGCCCGTCCTACACTTGGCGGGGCGGGGGGGGGATGGTTGTGGGGGGCAGTTCACAGACGGCACTTGAAGGGACTGCGTGCGCAGGTTAGAGGGCGTGGACTCGTGGCCCGGCAGAGGCCTCATTTTCTTGGGTTGGGGTGACCCCTGGTGGTCATTCAGAGTGCCACAAGGGCTGCTAACTGGCCCAGAATTCAATCCCGCCCAGGCCAACGGGGAAGAAATGGAGAATTATGGCGTGTGGTCCAGGCAGTGTCAATTGAAGTAGAGAGAACCATTCCCCCGAAGTTGACACAGGGTGACAGAGACCTCCCTGCCTGGCCAAGCCACTCCGCTCTGCCCGAGAGTCCCCTCCCAGAGCTCCAGCCTGGAGGTTCAGGTGGGTTTTATTAAGGGAGGTGGCACCCCTCATACAGGTCTCTTCCTGCTCCCCATGTCCCTGTCGCTGGAGGTGTCTGTGGGAAAGGCCACCACCATCTACGCCGTCAACGGCACGGAGATCCTGCTGCCCTGCACCTTCTCCAGCTGCTTTGGCTTCCATGACCTCCAGTTCTGGTGGTCCTTCAACAGCAGTGACACATTCAAGATTGTAAGTAGTGGGGGAGCGACAGCGCAGCTCAGACCCTCCTCCTTTCCCTGTTGCTCACTCCTGCCTCCATCCCAGACTCGGGTCCCTTCTGGACTGACCCCACTGTGGGTCAGTCCCCTTTCTCCCAGTATTCTTTCCAGAGTCTGTCTAGAAGAATCTAAGTGGGAGGGATGCTTAGATTGTGTTGCTAGAATTTGGGGTCTGTTGGAATTCTCTGCTAAAGTCTTCTGTCTGGTCTGAAGAAAATACCTGAAACTTGGATTGCTTGCGTAAAAATTAATAATTTAATTTAAAGAACGGGAGAGAGAAAGGCCTTTGGAAGGCTTGGAAGGAGGGAATGAGGAGAGTCCAAATGGGAGGAGGCCTGGGGAACTGGACGGGAAGAAGGGAGGAGAGGAGGAGATGTGCAGGAGCATTGACAGCGCTGTGGGCGGGGGCGGGGATGGATCAACCAACAGCTGTCTACTGAGTACTCTGCGATCCGGTGGAGGACCTGGGACGGGCCTAGGGAAGACACAAGAGGCCAGCCCTGGATGTAATTAAATGCTGGACTCAGGGTGCTGATGGACAGCACTGTGGGATTGATTCAGGTCTTGACTGAAGGCCAGAATTCGGAGAACAGGGAACACAGAGTCAGCAAAGGCTGAGGTGGGGGTGGGGGCGGTGGTAGTGACAGAGGGAAACAAGTGTGGTATTTGCAAGAGTCATTATGTAAAAGGCTTTTATAAAGAAAGCAGTAAGAGCTGTGCTCTATTCCGGGGAGACCTTAATAAAGGCAAATGGGTTTCGCCAGGAGCAAGAAAAATTCAGGTTAGACAGGCAGAGCTATCGATACTGGAAGGAAACCAAGGGGGAGAGCACCTGTGACTACAGGCTCCTCCTGGACCTGGACAGGGCAGGCACCCAAGGAGTGGGCTGGAGTGATGTCTTGACCTTTGAGGACCCTGATTCTTTCTTGGCCACCTCCTCTCCCTCCCAGCTCATAGACGGGACTGTGAAGAATGAGAAGTCTGACCCCAAGGTGAAGTTGAAAGACAGTGAACGCATCAGTCTGGAGGGCTCCACCAAGGAGAAGATGAACAACATTTCCATTCTGCTGAGGAACCTGGATTTCAGGGACACAGGCAAATACACCTGTCACGTGAAGAACCCCAAGGAGAATTATCTTCAGCACCAAGCCACCATCTTGCTCCATGTTGTTGATAAACGTATGCATTTGGGGCTGGGGTTAGGGCAGTGGAGTGGGAAGGACTGGGGGGCACCCAACTCAGTGAAATGGTACAATGGACCACATTGGTGTTTTTTTTCACTTTACACTTTCAACAGTTACTTCTGGAAGCTTGAAGAACTTATCTTGAATACTTATTCTGCCACTGAATACTTGGGAAATACACTTAACACCCCTGAGCCTCATTTTCCTCATCTGTAAATTAGGAATATGGCTGCTTTCTCCTAGGGTTGTCCTGAGAGAGAAGCTACATGGAGTGTTTTGCGACTGATAAAGCTCTCTCTGTGTATGCTGATTATGACTACTCTTGTGTGTTCTGTTAGCAAAAGTTGATTGAATGCCAGGTATCGAACCAAAAAGTGCTATGAATGATTCACAGTGTTCTTCCTTGAGGAATTTACAGTTCAGGGTGGGACAGAAGACAGGCAAACAGATAACGGAAATAAGAGCAGAGGCTGTAGAGGCACAGGCAACCGAGACTGATAAGAATGTTCTCTCCCCCCTGGAGCGTACATCCTAGTCGGGGATTCCAGTCTGACACAGGTGGAACAACTAGACAGTGAGGGACCATGTGATGAGGAGCCAGGTGGTGATGAGGAGCCAGGTGGTGACGTGACCACAGACACTGGAGGTTGTTAGGGAAGGGCTGGAGAGTTAGGTTGGGCTTCATGGAGGGGAGCCTGGAAGGCTAGGGAGGCACAGAAGCAGAGAAAAAGGGAAGGGAACCTCAAGGATCCTGATTATACTGCATTTCCTATATGCCTGGGGGTTCACCGTTCTCCTGGATGACGTGGAATGCCTGGAGAGAGAGACGCCCATGAGTTCAGTGTTGGCCGTGCCAAGGGCAGAGCCAGAGGCCATCCAGGCAGCTGTTTCTGAGCCTGAGTCATGAGTCAAGTCTGCATGTGGTGTCACCTCGTCCTGTCTTTCTGGACGTCACCCCACTTTGTGCTCAGCCTTTTCAGGAGGGAAGAGAAGGGGAAGGGACTAACATTTATAGAGCATTTCTGGGTGCCAGGCACTCAGTTAGGTGCTCTTGCTGACCTGATTCACTCCTTTGCTTCTCATACATTCTTTTGAAGCGGATCTTCTTTCCATTTTTACAGATTTATTCATCCCTCTATCCAATAAGTGTTTATTGAGCACCTGCCGTGCAGCAGACATTGTTCTAGGTGTGAGGATACAGGGTGAATGAGACAGATTCCTGCCCTTATGGAGATTTCCTTCTAGTCAGTTTGTAGTAAACAAAACAGAGAAGAAACTTATATTGTATAAGAGCACGTGGTTAGTGGGATGCAGAAAAAGTAAAATGGGGAAGGAAAGATGGGGTGCTAACAGGGTCACTAGAAGGCCTCACTGGAAAAGGTGACATAGAGCGAGTACATTTGAGGAGGTGAGAGAGGAAGCCGTGAAGATGTCTTTGGGAAGATAGTCCAGGCTGAGGGAAGAGCAGGTGCAAACACCCTGAGGTAGATGTGTGAAGAACAGCAAAGAGGCCAGTGTGGCTGGAGCAGGGTGAGTAGTAAGAGGTGAGTCAGATTAAGCCAGGTTGTGTGGGGCCCTGTGAGCGTGAGTGACGTGGAGCCACTGCAGGGCTCTGAGCAGAAATGTTAATGCTGGCACAGGCTCACTCTGGCTGCTGTGCCAAGAATAGACGATGGAGTGAGGAGACCAGTTAGGAGGCTGCTACAAACCTCCAGGGAGGAGATGTCTTGGGCCTGGTAAAAAGAGATCAGATTCTGAAATTTTTTGAAGGTAAGGCCATCGGGATTTTCAGGTGGATTGGATATGGGATTTGAGAAAAAGAGTCAAAGATGCCTCCAAGCATTTTGGTCACAGCAACTGGAAGGATAGAGTTTTCTCAACAGAAGTGGGGGAGACTGCGGACGGAGCAGGTTTGTGAAATCAGGAGTCAGTTTTCAGATGAAGAAACTGAGGCTAGAAGGGTTAAATGATCTGCTCAAGGTTTCCAGCTGGCTAGGGATCACTGAAATCCTGAAGTTAAAATCCAGACTATCTGACTCCCAAGTCTTCCCGCCACATAAGAGATATCACAGGGAGATTCTTGATTTTTTCCACATGCGCAAAGGAGACCTAAAAAGAGGCAATGATGTTCCCACACGGCAATTTGGGGGCCAAGTCATGACTCAAACCTGAGTGCTGTGGGCCCCGAGTCTGAATTATTCCAGAACTTGTGTGTGTGTCTGTGGAAGGATGTGTATGGGCAGGGGCAGCAGCAGGGGGGCAAGGGCCCTTTGTGTGGTGCCTTAGCCTGGTGGACGCCATATTCCAACTTCTCTTGCTTCCTGCTGCAAGGCCTGAGGAGGGCTGGGGGCCTGGAGTGGACATGTCCCAGATGCCAGGGCTGGAGGCTGTGTGGCCCTTGGACTGCCATGGTGCTTAGCTCCAGGTGACTCCTGCTCCCCTTGTCCACCTCTTCTCTCCCTGCTCCTGCCACACAGTGGAAGAAGTGGACAACACGGTGACACTCATCATCCTGGCCGTCGTGGGCGGGGTCATTGGGCTCCTCATCCTCATCATGCTGGTCAAGAAGTTCATCGCTTTCATTGTCAAGAAGACTCAGGAGAAGAAGTGAGTTTACTCCATAGCATGCTCCTGTCCTCCAGCCAGCTCACTACCCACTCATCTCGTGGATGTTCCCAGCAGCCTCTTTTCCGCCGTCATCTACCCCCATCAGCCTCCATCCTTCCCTCTGTCTCCTCATCCCATCCTCCCTTCCTAATCCTACCACTCTCTCTCCTATCGCTGCTTCTCCTCCGCGTCTCCCAGCCCCTCTCCTAGTCTCATCCCCTCTTCGCCATCCTCCCGGTAGGAGTGTATTGAATACATTGGCTTCACTAAGTACAGAGATACAATCCACTTGCTCTGCTTCTTCCCACTGTCTTCCTGCTCATCCCATTAGCCTCTCTTTCCATTTGCATCCCCTCAATCTAAAGTCCTACCACAGGATTTAGGAAGTCTTTTTTTTCTTTGAATCAAAGAAAATATAAGATTCCATGTAAATGAGCTCTAAAACAGAAAGACGCTTCTAGGAAGATGTGAGTCTCTTATTGTGAAATTCTGAAAATTCAAATAGGGGAGAGAAAAAAAATCTAAAAAGGCTGATATGTTCTCCCAGGAAGCCCTAGGACAAATCCAGGTATAAAAATAGACATCTAGGAGGGGAAGGGGGGAAGATGGGGGAGGTACAGAGAGTGCAACCCAGGCCCAGAGGTGCCAGAACAGGCAGGCTCTGAAGCCGCAGGTGGTGACTGTCGCAAAACCAGAGCAGGGAGGAGGCATTTGGAGGTTGCGTTGGCAGAAAGGAAGATGAGCTGGGGCAGGCCAGCCACTGGAGCAGAGAGGGTGGTTGTTACGGTAGGTGCAAGAGAGAAGGGGGAGCTGCTGTTTTTCTGTTTGCTTCGTTCTGCTTTGTGGAGGAGAGGGACTTAGGCTGGAAAGGGCGGAAATTACACTGGTAAGAGGGGAAGGAAGCTGAAGGCAGGGAGGGGATATTTGGGGGTGGAGAGTGAGGAGCCACTGAGCGTCTCACCCCGGGCACTGGCTGAGATGAAGAATTCTTGGGTGGTCAGAGGCTGTGAGGGTTTTGGAGATCTTGAGAGGAGCCGGGAGCATGGAGCAGGATCAAATTCTGTTTTTAATCACCAATCTTACTATTGCTGGTGGGCAAAATTGGAGAACAAATTATTCCACATATAATTTAAAAGCACTTGAGAAAGAAAACAGTGATCCTTGGGAGCCAGAGTGGGTTCATCGAAAACAAGACAGGTGAAACGTTTTCTTGCTAGGGCACTGGTGGATCAGGAGATTGCTACAGATAATGACACTTCCTGTCCCTCGTTGAATGCCTACCATGTGTTAGGGACTCCACCAGGCATTTTTATATAATATTCATAATTTTTATTTTACAATTGAGCAAAGTGGGGCTCAGAGTGGTTAAGTGACAGGCCCAAGGCCACACAGCTAGTAAGTTGAACTCTGACTTGTCTGGCTTCAAAACTTAAACCACTGCCACCATACCTTCCTGCTTCATGGGCTATATCTAAAGTTCATCCATTCATTCTTTCAATTGGTGGCGATTTTTGAGGTACTGGGTGCAAGGCACTGTGGCAGGTGCTGTAGGAAATTCTGGAAGGAATGACATTCTGCCCTTAAGTAAAAAAGACAGGACACGTACACATATAAATGTACTACAAGGTAGAAGGGATTGGTGCCAGCAAAGAGGTATGAGAGAATTCTGCAGGGGTTCAGAACAGGGGGTACTTCTAGGGAAGGATTTCTGCCCAAGGGATGTTTGTGGTAGGCCTTGTAAGATGGATGTAATTTAAGCCCTGGGGAGAGTGGAGAACAAGGTGTACCAGAGGGAACCACTGAAAGGCAGAGAGTCTGGGCAGTAGGCCTGTGTCTGGGGAATAAGGTGTTTTGTCTGTTGAGAGAGTCAGGGGTGTGGTAGGGAGGAAGGGGAGGAAAAGCCTGCAAAGGGGGTCGGGGACAGAGGCTTGGGGACCTGGGGCTCCAGGCTGAGATTGGCTTGCCTCTGACTGCAGGGGACTGGTGAGGGCTTGCACGATCAGAGGGCTTCGGAAGAAAGGCTCTGGCATTGGTGGGCATAGGGACTGGCTGGGGAGAGACTAGAGGTGCGAGACAGACCACAAGGAAGCCTGAGAGGGGTCCTTTGAGTGGCAAGGAAAGCCTGTATTAACAGTAGAGGTGGGGTGACTTCCCAAGAGGAAGGGAGGTGTTGGATAGCATCTCTTGATCAATTCTGAGCTTTTACACGTGAGTGTGGTTCTCTCTGCCTGGAATGTCTCCTCCCTCTTTTCCTGCTCATCTTTCTTGGTCTCAGCTTAAATGACACTTTCAAAGAGCCTTCCCTGACCCTGGAAGAAAACTTACTAGGTTGACTCCCTCCTTAGTACACCTCCCACCCTGTCATTTACCACATTGTATTGTAATCACTTGTTTAATGTCACATTCCCTGGAAGACTGCAAGTTTTCTGAGAGCAGGCACCATGTAAAATTGTACACCCTTTAGCCCGACACAGTGCCTGGTACCCAGGAGGTTCTCAGTAAAGAAATATGGACTGCATGAGAGTATAGTTAGGTGGATAGGAACTGGCTGGGTTGATTATACTTTAGGTATAGATAGGTAGATAGACAAATAAACCCATCGGAGCAGAAGTCTTGAGTGATGTGCCACAGGGCTCTGCTTGTTCATTGTTATTATTAAGATTTGAACTACACAAGAGATAATATACTTACCAGATTTCCAGGAGCCTACTGCCTACTTGGAGAACAAAAGTGAGATCTAGGAGGGTCTTGATAGGCTGGAGCCATGGATTAAATCCTTCAAGATGAAATTGATGAGGACAAAATATTGAGTCCTTCCTGGAGTCCTCAACCCTGGCTATGCGAGCCCGGGGGGGGGAGGCTAAGATGTAGTTCAGCAACAGCAGCTGTGAAAAAGACTCGGAAGATTTCGTGAGTGGAAAGCTGGGAGTGATGCAGCAGTCCGGTCTTGCCTGGAGAGCTCTCTGCAGCCCCGGCACGGCTGATGGGGTGGGATGTACTTAAACTGGAGCTTGTCCAGCTCGGGGCGGTCAGGGTGGTGATGCTCCCCGGGGATGTCTTCCGTCTAACCATCTCTCCTTCCTGCTGCCTTCTGCCCCCTCCCACCACCCTCTCCCCACCTTGGTGCCAAAGTCTCTGCCTGCTCTGCCCCTTCCATGCTCGTTCTTCTACGTCTGGTCACAGTGAGCTCAGGGAGGACGGGCCTGCTGGGGCACTGGGGGAGGAGCTCTTTGCCCTCTGCATACTGCCCGCTGGCCTGGACCCTTCCCCCTGGGTTGGCACAGCCTGGGAATTACCCTGGTCTGGCTTTCCCTCAGCACTGATGCCTGGTACCCTTGCCTTGTGCTCTGTTGAGATGGCTAGGTGATGGCTGGCCTTATTGAGAACTTTCTATGGGCCAGGCACTGTTCTAATTGCTCACTGACCCCTCACAGCAACCCCATCAAGAGGGTGTCATTGTTACATGCATTTTATAGATGAGGAAACTGAGGCACAGAGGCTAGGCGACTTGGCCTCCTGCTACCTTAGCTCTACAGAAAGGGTCCGGGGCTGGGTGCGGGGGCCACAGCTCCCCTCCACAATTTACCTGTTACTCTTGCTCGCCTCTCACCAGGGGCCCCTCTCTCCTCTCTCCCTCCAGGAAGGAGTGCCTCGTGAGTTCCTCAGGGAACGACAATACAGAGAATGGGTTGCCTGGCTCCAAGGCGGAAGAGAAACCACCAACAAAGGTGTGAGCCCCCACTGGGTGCCAAGCAGCCACTGGGAGCCTCACTTTCTGAGGATGAAACTGATGCTTGAGCCGTGTCCGTGAACCCACGTGCCTGAGACATCTGCTGCTTGGCTCAAACTGTAGTCTTTCCGGGCGGGGAGAAACTGGGGTCCTGCCCAGCCTGCCCCACCCCCTCCCCAGTCAGGGCTCCCCAGGGACGAGGCCTGGCCAGGGGAGGGGGCCTGTGGAAGGTTCAGGAGAGGAAAAGAGGAGCTGGGCGGTATGGAGGGCCAGTCCCCCGACACCTGGTGGATGGGTCTTCCTCAGTCTCCCCCCGCTGGACGAGCAATGCCTTGGTTTTCCTCCAAATTTCTCTTCAAGAGACACTTGGGGACCAGTGAGGGCTTTCCCAATAGCTGGACCCTGTGTGTGGAGAACCAGCCCTTCTGATGGTGGGACTGGCCAGGAGGGCTCTGTACAGGATCTGGGGGCGGGAGGCTGCTGGAGGGGGGCCTACAGTGAGAGGCTTTGATGGACACCTGATCCCCCACATCCCTCTAGTGAGGAACTTCCCTTTCTCCTCCACTGCAGGGTGCCTGCCTGCCTTGGTCCCACATCCCTTGTACCTACCCCTGCTGCTCAGAGTCTCTGAACCCTCCCAACTAGGGCTGGCTGTCTTGCTTTTGGGAGATCCTGGCCCATCTAGCCTCCTTCTCTGATCTCTGGGTTCCTGAGGGGCCCCTCAGGCCTTCCTGGATCACTGGGGCGCTACCTACACCTTTCCTAGCATTTTTCCTCGGGGAACCAGGACTGTGGAGGTGGGTGAGCCAATGCCCCGGGGCTCTTGGCCACTGGAATGCCTACCCCAGCCCAGTCAATGCTGGCTGCTCCTTCTCCTTGGCATGGCAGGACCATCGCCACACCTGGGAACTCCCGAGCCTGGCTCTGCCCCGCTCTTCTTTCCCTGAAGCAGCAAGTGGCGTCATCTTGCTTGAGGTGTTGCACACTCAAACCCTCTGCTCGCATTGGCTTGCTCCTCCTGCGCCCCTCCATCACACTTTCTCCCCGGCCCAGGGGTGCTCATCTCTGACCCTGGGTCAAGGCATGCCTTCGCCTCAGGGATCCTCTTGCTTTGGAGGAGAGGGCCCTTGGGTTTTCTGGCTGCTTCCTGCTCAGCTGCCACCCCCTTTCCCACCCTGGGGTTGGGGAGGAGCAGGGAGAGAGTGCCCGCTTTGCTTTCTTGAGAACTGGTTTGCACACCACTTGTATGTGGGGCTAGACTGTGCCTGAGCTCCTGAGTCCCAGCTCATGCCCTCCCTCCCCTCTCCAGCTCGTACATAACAGCCAACTCTGGTGCGGCATTGGTGAGGGCGCCCTAACCACTCCACCCAGGGTCATGTAGGGGACCAGGGAGCTGGAGTGGTGTCACCAACAGCCCCTTGGCTAGTGACTGAATCTTGGAGACATCTGCCAAGGGCTCCCACAGGGTTCCCTGACAGGGGATGTAGTGGTGTCGGAAGTGGGACCTCTTGATGGAAGTCCCATTGTGTTGTCCCTGTGGGTAGAAATGGTGATGTGAGGGATGGCATGGAGACGTGATAATGGAGGTCTCCACCATCTGCTCCCACTCCCTTGCTCTCTTATAGAATTTCTGAGACTCTGTCCTCTGGGCCCTGGGTGGGGTAAGAGGGGAGCAGCCCCTTTTCCAGATTCCAGACCAGTCCAGATTCCAGACTGCCTCAGGAGTCTGCTTGCCAAAAAGCAGCACAGATTTCCCCAGGAGCGGAGGTGGGGGAGACTGAGGGACAGCAGCACCTGCAGAAGCCCATGGCTGTGATTGTGGCCCTTGCCCAACCTCATGGGCTCACAGGGTCCCACTCTGACCTGTCTCCATCCCTGCCATCCTTCTCCGTCCAGAACCCCTCAGATTTTCCTGGCTTCGGGAGCAGACAGACCAGAGCTGCCAACCATTTGGAAAACTTACAGCTGCCTTCATGCACTGCTGCTTTCTTCTCCCTTCCCAGCTTCAACATTTGAAGGGGCAGAGTGTCTTGGGCTCCTCTTACTCTCTTGAGAGGAAGCCCAGGCATAGAGGGTGAGGGAGAGGAAGAGCATCATCCTCTCCACTCCTGGATCTACTGCTGACTAATAGGCAGGTCATGCATCTTCTCTGGGCTCAGCTTTTCCCATCTATAAAATGGGTGTAATAATACTTACCTACCTCACAGGACTGTTGTGAGGCTTGGCGAGTTTTTGTTTAAAAAATCTTCTTGGCTTAGAAAGGGATCTAGGAGGCCAGGTATTATAATTGGAGAGATTGTTCCAAGTCTGTCCTGTCCTCATCGCTGTGTCCCATCTCTGTAACACGCACACAAACACACTCTCTCTCTTCCCACTGCTCCCCTTTGGGATTATTTTAGTCTTTGGAATGTTAGAAACCCTGGCTCTGATGCTTAAAGCTTCTTGTTCATGGCCTTTGTTGGGTGGTTTTCAATAGAGGAGACTGGGACCGTAAGGGGCACACTTTTGGTTGCCCTAGTGCTTGGGGGGCACTACTGGCATTAGTGAGTGGGGACTAAGAATGCTAACCTTAGTCCCCACAACAAAGACTGTCCTGCCCCAATGCCAGGATTATGTCCATGGAGAAACACTGGGATAGATTTGCAATAGAACGCGTATAGCTAAAGCCATCTTGACCCAAGCAGACCCTCAGTGCGTGCATGTCTCCAAGGGTGATCTCCAGGGGCTGGTGAGAGTGCTTCCAGGGCTTGGGGGCTAGAGAGAGCCATTTACAAATGACTCTGGGGAGCCCTGGATGCATGCGGCTGTGCTGACAGTGAAGTCAGTGAGACCATAGACAAAGCCTTTCCCAGCTCCCCATCCTTGACCTCAAAGTAGGACCTCAGCATTCCAGGCCTTGGGTTTCTCCCCATGTAGGAATTGAACAGAAGGCAGCCAGAATGAACCTGTGATGTTAGAGAGGTCCTCGGGGTGGGGGGGTGGGTGGTGCTGGTGGTGGTGATGGAGCTCAGACTTTTCACATCTGGCTGGCTGACCAGAGCTGGAGGTGAGGCGAAGGCTGTGAGAGCATGCTCCTGAGATGGTGCCGGGTGAGGGTGTGCATGTGTGCAGTGGGCGTGGGGTGTGCATGTGGAAATGCACGCCTATGGAGTGAGTGGGCTGTGCATGGAAGGTTGGATGTATGGAGGTATGTATAAAGGCTGTGTGTGCCTGAGATGGAGGAGATTGTGCACATTTCAGGAGCCATCTTTCCTGACCTGAGCTATACCTGTTGGGGCACCTGGAGGCTGAGAAAGGATAAGAGACAGAGGGGAAGACCAGCCATGCTTCTGGACTCCATAACTCCATGACTCCATCTCACTGTCACAGACAGCTGCCGTTGGAGTGCTGGGGGGAGGGAGTGCAAGGAGGGGCGACTTCTTAGGAAAATCCTAGAGCTTGCTTCACTTTACTCTGTCCCAGGTGGAGTCCCTGCCCTCCCACCTCCCACTTGATAGGCAGTGCTTTTGACTATCTTATGCATGGTTTCTTCCTCTGGCTTGGATTACAACAATACCCATAGTCAATTTTCCCATATAACTGTAGATCAAAACGACGCAGCAATGGGCCTGGGGAGGCCTCAGGTGTGCGGGTGCCTCTGGGAGGTACAGATGAGCACAGACCCAGCACTGACTTGTGTTCAAGCACAGAACGGATGTTATCAGACTGTCTTGCCTTTACAACATGTTTTATTGTTGTAGAATTTTATTTAGCTTTGCCTTGGATGAAATAAAAATTATGTTTAATAGAAATGGTTTGGAATTTCCATTTTTGGCTAATTGGGCCTTGGGTTCCAGTTTTATTACTTGCCGGCTATAAGTGAGACAAGTTTCTTTACTTCTCTGAGCCTCAGTCTCCTTATGTCTGAAACGTTACCTGCCTAGGTGAGATAACACATGTAAAATGTCTGAGCATGTCTGGCATAGTCACAGGCACTCGGGTTGTATTAGTGCTGAGACCTTCTTCAGAGAAGTTGGAAAGGTGGCCCTTTAGTACTGGAATCATTGCCAGGGCCCTCCCTGTACTGATGACCTTGGTCATGATTCTGGTACCACTAAATGTCATCACATCCTCATCCCAAGGCCCCCCCACCCCAGGTTATCATTGGGATCCAAATGAAATCTGTTTCAAATGAACAAGGGCAACTTTAAAGAGGAAAAGCACAAAACAACTTATTGACTGGAGTATCTGAGCACACTGGGCTCTGCTTGGCTGGTCCCTCCAGCTTGCTGTTCCAGGGGATGGGGGAGGGAGGAAGCTTAGGCTTACACCTCAGGAATGACTCTACCCATGCACATTTCATGTTGTCGATCTTAAATTATTTGAAGGTAGATTACCCAAACACGCCTGCCTTCAGAAGAGAGTTTCCAGCTGTGGGGCATAAGGCCAGACTGGGAAGGAATCGGGGAAGACGTATGAGTGTGTGTGTGTCTGCTTATATTCTTGCACTTTGTCATATCACAATTTCTTGCCATGCCATATCCTTCTCTTCAGTGGATTCACCTCAGACTGCATTTCAAAGGTTTCAAACACTAAGTACTCAAAAGATCTTGTTACAAGACTCTTCTTCCTCAATCAAGGACCCCATGAAGGCAGAGGTCCCTGAGATCCTCCATCTCAGCAGGTGTCTCTGACAGCACTGCTTTCTCAGCCCTCAGCTATAGTAACTGCTCTGTGCTCCCACCCTGAACGGACTCATCACCTGGATTCCCACGCCGCCACTCACCTGTCTTCAGGTACTGTCTGTTGCCTGGGCCCTCCTGCCACCTTCCCATTCCCACCCTCAAGACTTGTTGGATACGGAGGTTTCCTGGTCCAAGCCTGCACTCATAATGCTCTGGGAATGCTATGCACTGAACTTGCAGTTACCCATGTAAGGATCAGTCCTAATGCCTGGTTAGGTCCCCGTCATTGCTCTGTCCATCATCACTTCCTTTCCCCACTCAACAGCCATTATAACTGATAGATGACCAAATGTGTCAGAACCAAATTAGGAAGTGGGGCTGTCCCGGGCAAACCTGGACCTAGGGTCACCCTGTTAAGCCCCATGCTGACTCAACCAGGACTAAAATACACATAAATTAAGCGTCCTTAAGTTGAGCTGGTTGCGGGCACACAGACCAGATGGACTTCAGGGTGTCTGTATACTTGAAAGTGAGGGTGAAAATGTACGTATGTGTGTAGGAAACCTTTCAAAAGGGCCTTAGTGTGGAAGCTGGGAATTATCCCCCGCTCCCCGCCATCGGTGTCAGGAAAGGAGCTGGTCGCACCCTCCTCCTCTGGTCACCTCAGAAGCCTCCATCCCTCCCTCCCTAAGCCTGTTTTCGTCCCGCCCTTGCTTCCATAAGGGAGATGTGGGCTTTGCTGACCCCCCAAGGGCCTAAGTCTTCGCTTCTAAAAGAACCGAAGTGATTTCTTTCGAAAGACCCTTTAGGCCTAATTTTCCCTCTTTTCTCCAAAGTTCGAATCCTGTCTTTGGCTGACTCTCCTTCCTCCTCTGCATTCAGCAACCCGCAGACTGGGTCAAATTGACTCACAATGGAGAACTTCCCTTTCACTCCCCACCTTCACCTTGGGGTTGGAGGCTTCAGAGCAAATGCAGATAGTCAAACAGAAGGGCAATGCCACAGGGCTGGGCTGCT